TTAAACGCAGTGTCAATCATTATCTACTGTCCTCTTCATTTCTTTTCTAATGTTCTTGTTCCTTAATAATGTTTCTCTTTTTTTTGTTATTCTGTCACACTAAGAAAACCCCTTGTATCTTAGTGGCTTTACTGCCTTGCATGGGGTGATATGATTAAAAATAAGAACTGATATCAATTTAAGTACTAGTAATAATAATTAATTCAGAGTTGGTTTTCAATTTTATTGTAGCAAATGAGTCGACTTCAACAGTGTAAGGGACGCAACTCTTTCCGTCTGAAAATGTCTGACACGCTAAAACGCAAAGCCGTGTACACCAAACACGGTGTAATGTTGTCTGCCAATGTCTCCAAGCAACCTGCTTTTATGGAGCCCAGACACACCTCATTAGCATGTGTGTAACGCGACTTTCGTGACTGCACGAGACCGTGAATATTAAAAGTCACGGACGCCATTTTGGATCTTTTTCTTTCCTTTCTCAACCCACAGGCCAGGCAGATGCATTTTATGGTAGGCTGTTTCTATTTTCCCCACACTACCCCCTGATCTCATGATCACAGAGTTGACAGGGAGGTGGTGATCGCTGCGCCGGGTACTTCTTCGAAGAGGGACGCCACGGAGCCTCATCGTTGCTTGTGCTCCTGTCTGAGGTCTGAGGGTCGAAAACACCGCGCCCCTTGAAGGCTACTGATATCCCAGTCACTGCCTGATGGGGCTGGCGGAACCAGAGCGATGCCTCACTGGTCTCATATTCGATTCGTTCTCATCGTCCAGCGGTGGTTTAACTCGCGTTGCGGGACCAGGTCCTAAAGTGACGGGGCACCGTCGGCCTGTACCGCCTGTGGCTGATCACCTCAGTGACGCGTCCGTTCCAGATTTCGTGGTGCACTTGCTGTGCGGATTTTTTATCCAGACGACATCGCCTTTTCTTCAGCCTCTCTCCGGTTACTTTCAGTTCCGTCAGTGGGTTGGTTTCTATGCCTTCACTCTGACGTGGTACCTGGCGGTAATGTGTCTGCTGGCGCCGTAGAGGGTGAGACATCATCCGGGGGTCACGTTGTATAAGTAGACCGCCCTCAGACACCACACACAGCCCGTCCTGGCTGGCGATGGTCTTGAGCGGTCCAGTGGTTCCGCCGATTATTCCATTTCCACTTTCATGCGGGCGCACCGGAACCGTAGGTGCACTCCCCAGCCATCCGCAAACTTCCTTTAACTGCTCGCTGGTGAATCGGTGCCATTGCCGGTTAATATCTCCGTTGGGGGGCCACGTTCAAGGAAGATACTGTTTAATTGACGGATGATAGTGGCTGCATCTTGCGGACGCAGCAGCCGCCATATCGCAAACCTGGATGGACCACAATCAATGAGTGTCAGGAAATGCTCGCTGTTGTGGTGAGTAACATCTATCGCCACCCGGCTCCAGTGGTTCCTCACGCTCAGCTGCCCTTTCTTCCAGCGAACGGGTGCTGGGTCTATAGACTGGCATGCCACGCAGCTTCTGACCACTCTCCTGACGTCTGTCTTTGTACTCCTGGGTCAACCAACTTGGCGAAATACAGTGTCCGCTTGACTCCAGGGTGCCCACTTTGTTGGTGGACTTTGATTTGATTAAATCGAACGGGACTCACGGACGCAGTGCAGGCTGGTTGCACGGGCTCAATGGCTTTCTTAGCGGCGTCAAGCCACCTTTGCGGCACCCTCGTTAAACAATCTGCTTTGTTGAGGCTAGATTTGACCAGGGACACCTCCATTGTCAGTGCGTACTCTTGCACTAGATTCACGATCGTGTCGAGCCGTCGTCGGATAAGCATCTCGCTGGTGGCTTTAGTCCGCACCCTGGCCCTCCCGGTCAAGGTATCAGAGATCCACTTATAAACACAAGCGGAATCAGTGAACAGACGCAGAGTGGTCGACTTCCAGAGGATCGCCAAGTTGATCCCCTTAATGACAGCATCGAGCTCCGCTAGGTTTATGTGCTGGGAGTCCCTTTCTGGGACGTAACCAGCAAGCATCTTCTACCACGGCTCCATCGCGGAACTATCGACACGCTGGTTGCAAGAGAGTTTGCGCCAACCCACACACAGAGGTCTTGGCTGTCAACGCACCATCTACCCTGAGCTGGGTCTTCCTTGCGTACTAGCGAGGACCTCCTCATCATGGTGCTGAGAGGGTGTCGTGAACTTCGTCATCCCATCCAGTGGTGACGCCAGATGCTCTCCGCTTGATAAACGCCACCGCAACACGCAGCCAGCCACCTACAGGAAGGTGCCCAACTAACTTGCCGCACAAAGGAAAACATGCTTCATTGGCGTGACAACGGAGGGCATGTCTGGGAGTTTGTTTCCCCGTTTCCAATACAGAACGTCATCTTCTCCCCAGACTTGCAAACCAAGCACCCGTGCACCATCCTGTAGTCTCTCCGGTTCCTTGCTGAGGAGGCCAAAGTTGTAGAGATGCTCCTTCACGTGCGCCGCAGATATGACTCCCTCGTTCACGTACACGTCATCAATATATGCAGATGTTGCCCGCTGTATGCGCTCATCCTTCGTCAGAATGGAGTCAACAATCATCTGCATAATCGATGGCGCCACATTGAGTCCAAACCCCATGCGGGTCAGGCAATACCGTTGCCCCTTGATAAGCACGGTTTGATAGGGCCACAGTGATTGGTGCACACGCACTTGAAGGTATGCCTTGCGAAGATCCAGCACAGATACATTTGATCCTGCTTGTCGCCATTCCTTTAGCTTTCGGTACACGCGTCCGATCGAGCTGTAAAAGGGTCCACGTGCTCATTCAGTTCTCGATAGTCGAGCACCGGCCTCACCTTTTGTTTGTTGTGCTGGAGAACCGCCATTAGCGGGATCAGGCCCTTTGGGGCCCCAATTCCTTCTCTGGATAAGGAACCAACCATCCGTTATTAATCCAGGCTCGCAACTCCTTGTCGCACTCTCTGCACGAGCTCGCAGGGGGATCTTATACTCCGCACACTGTTGTACAGCTTCTCTGGCGGTTGATCGTCTGACCATTTCCAAGATACCGTCCAGGACTTTGTGCGCTGGTCGAACTCCGCATGAAAGTCAGGCCATTCCAGCTCCATTGCTGCACCTAGAGCAAGACCTGTTTCAGTGAAACGCGCCCGGCCCTCTTCGTCAACATGGACACCACCCAATTTTTTGATGACGTCCATTCCCAGGAGCAGATCATAGCCGAGCAGCCCTCTGTCCACGATCAGGGCTTGTACAGCTACTGCAGGCCCATCGCCGATGCTTACTTGCCGGATGACGCCACTCCACAAGAGGTTAGCGAGCCCCGCCAACAGTCAGAACTGGAATATTTTTCTCGTCCCACGTGTCACAACATGCCTTGCGCACAAGGGTCTGGGTGCACCCGTGTCAACAAGCGCCAAGCGCCACGCCTGTTAATCCGCACGCTCACTGCGGGTAGCGCCTTGTTCAGCGGCGATCTGGGGAGAAGACTGGGCGCTGTAGCTTACTCCCTTGCTCGTTTCCGGACAGCTTCTTGCTACGTGGCCCAGCTTGTCGCAGACCTGTAGCAACGCATACGCCTCCGTGTTCCTTGGTTGTCGCGATCCTTCGCACCGCCTTCGGCAGTCTTTGGAGAAGTGGTTCAGTCCGCCACATTTATAGCACCTTGCGTCCTCAGTTGGCGGTGCGGGTGCTTCCACAGCTGCTGAGACCAGCTCCACGTCGTCTTTTAGAATATTCCGGCTCTGGCCAGTAATTCGTTCAGCCCCAGCTCATTGAGCCTTGACGATGCTCGTAGCAGTCGACACTGCGTTGTCTGGGAGTCCTGCTAGAAAGGTGCATCCCAGGATTTGGTCGCTTGCTCCAACGAACGGTGCGGCCAGCTTCCTCAAATCGGCCAGAAATACATCTACTGTTTCATCTGGTCCAAGGCGCTGTTCGGTAAACTGCCTCCAGGCGACAAAGGGTCCGCACCAAATGCTGCGATAGAGCTTGTTTTATTTCCTCCAAGTCTGCATCATCCCTTAGCTGCTGATACACAGCGAAGCTCCTTTGGTGAGTCTAAGAGGGATAACCAGCGGGATCTTTAATTTTACACAGCCGGGCAGACCCGCTCGGCCTTTTTCCCACCACTTTCGACCACAGACGGGCCAGCGGGGGAGCCGTCAACTCTGGTATTAACTTCAAGTCGAATCTGTCCATGCTGTAATAATTGCCGAAATAGCTTGTAGCAAATGAGTCGACTTCAACAGTGTAAGGGACGCAACTCTTTCTGTCTGAAAATGTCTGACACGCTGCAACGCAAAGCCGTGTACACCAAACACTGGTGTAATGCCGTCTGCCAATGTCTCCAAGCAACCTGCTTTTATGGAGCCCAGACACACCTCATTAGCATGTGTGTAATGCGACTTTGCGTGACTGCACGAGACCGTGAATATTAAAATTCACGGACGCCATCTTGGATCTTTTCTTTCCTTTCTCAACCCACAGGCCAGGCAGATAAGAGAGCTTTTGTGAGGTAGGCCGTTTCTATTTTCCCCACAATTAGGTGATCATGTTACAGAGAAAATTATCAGTAAAATACTGTGTCTATTGCAAAAAAGAAAAACAGCAATAAAGAACGCATATATTTCAGATTTTGTGCATTTATTTCAGACCAGTTTCCTCATCTTTGTTATGTGATGTTTCGACTGCTGTACCCTTTGGCTTTCATCAGTCATTTCCTAGGATGTTTAAATAGAACCCTTTATCTGATCTGCCTAAGTATATTGCTATCATTTTTTTACATTTTTTTTCTTAATAAGAGTAGATAGATTTACATATTGTCCAGTTCACACTCCTCCCTGGTCTTTTGGAGTAGGAGTAGAGGTTTACCTTTTGTTTCCGGTTTAATTTTTTCTCATTCTCTTTTACTCATCATAGTCTCTTGCGTCTTAGTGGCTTTATTGCCTTGCTTGGTGTGAATTGACTAGAAGAAAAGAAAAATGGACAAAAAGTATTCTAACTTACCTCTCTTTCACTGAAGTTATCAATTTTATATCTTTCTGCTTTCTCTTGCTCTACAAATCTTTCCAATAATGCAATTTTCTCACTGAGATCATCATTGTTTTGCTTGTAGCTCCTTGTTGTCCCTTTCTCTCGCCTTTAAAATAAATAATTACAAATATATATATATATATATATATATATATATATATATATATATATATATAAACACACACACACACACACACACACACACACACACACACACACACACACACATATATATACATATATATATATATATATTTTAAGCATTTCACCCCAAGCAAGGTGGGAAGACACTAGCATGCAAGGGGTTACAGAGAGTTGGAGTGAGAGCAAATAAGAGTGATAGAGGAAAAGATGAAGAGGGGGATAGGGGATAGATCAAGGCATCTGGAGATGTCGATTGACATTACATTTGAATAGTTAGAGATTATAGCTGTCAGGGAAACAAGAAAAGAGGAGGAAGTTCCACAGGCGAGAAGTGCGAGACATGAAGCTATTGGAGTAGAATAGAAGGCTACATTTAACAGTTTTGACAGTGAAAGGGTGAGAGTGAGGAGATGCCAGCCTAGTTGAATGCTTAAATTCATGAAGTCTGGGAACCAGTGAAAGCAGCTCATTGGAGCAGTTACCATGAAGGTATTTGTAAAAAAAGATAGGCGACAACACATCTGTGAGAGAGCAACTGCAGATGAGATACCTGATCAGGGCCAATTACACATACATATATATATATATGTATGATAGGAAAAGGAACAAGTAGGAAACAGATTTCAATCTAACATGTTTCAATTTATTAAAGCTTCATCTGAGTTTAAGATAGAAATGATAAAAAATGATAAAAAGCAAAGAGACACAGATAAATGCTATGTTGTGTTTGGTTATTTCTTACTGTTTAGATACGTGTCATGTGTAATGAAGTCACAGATAATATTCAAATATGTGTATTAAACATTCTCAATGCTAAAGTGTGTAAAATTTAGTAAGATGCAGTAAGATGTTTTGATTGGATACATGTCATGTATAATGAAGTAACAAATAATATTCAAATATGTGTGAGAAACATTCTGGACTGTATAAAAATTAGTGAGACGCAGCAGGATCTTTTGATTGCTTAGTTCTTATTGGTTAGATAAGTGTCACATGTAATGAAGTAACAGATAATATTCAAATATATGTGAGAAACATTCTGGACACTAAAGTGTCTAAAAGTTAATGAGACACTGCAGGATGTTTTGAAAAGTTTTTTTTTTTGGTTTGACTTTTCATTAAAGCATATCTATATCTATATATATATATATATATATATATATATATATATATAAAGAGAGAGAGAGAGAGAGAGAGAGAGAGAAAAAGAGAGAGAGAGAGATAATATTTGGATATATTTACTTACTCCAAATCAGTTTGTAATCTTTTTATATGTTCTTTTTTTTCTTCAATCACTTGTGACAGGGCTGCCAGTTTTTGTCTAAGATTGTTCATTTCTTGTTGATGCATGTTGATTGAGTGTTTGCTGTGTTCTAACTTCTTTTTGCTTTCTTCACACAGTTCTCCTAACGAGGCAATTAGTGGCAATTAGCAGAAATAAGCAACAAATTGTTTGACGACCCAATCATAAATAAAATAATAAATCTTACAAATAGTCTGGTCTGCTTGTGAAAAATAGGGAAAAGAGTTTTTGGGAAATCATTTTTGGAGATTAGCATTTTTTATTTTTTTTTTTATTTTTTTTTAGAATTAGGCTGTTGCACTTATCAAAATCAAAAATATTGATTATTTTATTATTTTAGAAAGGGGGTCCTGTTTATAATATAAATACAGTATTAAATCAATCTCTGACTTTTACAGAGTTCTTGGTATCTGACAGTTTACAAATGTCAAATGTAAAACTGTACAGACATCATTTATTGATATTTCTGTATGAAAATGGACATATTTTACAAAAGGATGATAAATTATATAAAAACTGTCCAAATGTTCTTTTAATCCAAGCACTTTTGGCTATACATTTTAGCCATTTTCAAGAATGAAATATTTTAACTATTAAATAATGAAAATGGCTAAATGTATAGCCAAAAGCACTCGGATTAAAAGAACATTCAGGCAGTTTTTATATAATTTATCATCTGAAAAGAAAAAATTATTAGATTGCATGAGAAATTGTATAAAAAACTAAATCAAAGCACCTTGTCTGTCGTATTCAATGAAATGGGCATGAAAGAAGGATTGCTGCCTAAATACACAAATATATGTGTGTGTGTGTGTGTGTGTGTGTGTGTGTGTGTGTGTGTGTGTGTGTGTGTGTGTGTGTGTGTGTGAGAATTTTTATACATTTTATTTTAAGAAAATATTTTAAACATGAAATTGTTTGGTGAAACAGATTTCAATTCTTTTTTTTACAAAAAGTTTTTATCATTAAAAAAAGAAACATTTGTGTACATTTTTAAACTAGTGCCACATTTAAACAATAAAAATTTACATAAATTAACAAAAGCATAAAAAATATGCAGATATTAAAGATGTAAGCACATTTCTATGGCACAACATTTGTAAATAAAAACTAAGTGCACATAAATCTGTAAAAGTCAGGCATGCATTTAACATTATTTTGATATTATAAACATGACCCTCTTCTAAACTGATAAAATATTAATATTTTTTGATTCTGATAAGTATTGTGGTCTAAGGACGATCTAAAGGATGCAAATCTACAAAAATTATTTGCAGAAAATGTTTTCCCTGTTTTGTACAAGTGGACCGGCCTATTGAAGTAGCGAAAAAAAATATTGTAATTTTCCAATGAAATATTTTCAATATTGATTTTTCATGTTATTAAAATTTTAAACATAGCATTTAAAAAAAAATAAACGTTGACGAGAGAATCGAGTGAATTTTTTTTTTTTTTTTCTTAATCAGTATCATCCCAAGAAAGACAGTCCAGCCAACAACATGCAAAGAGTTACAGGGTGTGGAGGAATTAGGAACAGAAATATTAGATGAGGTATTTTAATTATTTAATTATTAACATTGTTCGGACTGTTGTCCTAATCCTTATTGCCATATTCATGATATTCCATCCATTGTAAGATCCAGTCTTCTTCAGGTGATTGGAATTTTGAACTGAAGTCTTTATTTTGTCCACTGGCGTAGATTTTTCTAGTTCCACATGCCATGCCTCTTCCGGATGTTTCAGTTATCTCCCTTTAACTCAATTCAGGTCTGGATCTAACCAATGCTTTTATCCAATGGACCATGTGTCCTTGAGGACATTGGTGTATGAATTTTTGGGACTTGCAAACTTAATGTCTCAGTAAGTGAATATAGCAATGAAGATGAGGATAACAGTCCAAATAATGTAAATAATGTAAGTAATGAACATTAAACTTTGTCATCATTATTAAAACAATGACTTGCAAGTTTACTTCACTAACCATTACTACTGTAGTGCGTCGAGTTATAACTTGAGGATTTATACTTGGGGATAGTGTAAGCCAAGTGTCTTGTTTCAATTGATTTGTTTTTTTTACAGCTGATCAACCTTCTGTGGGCTATTTAAAGGCAAAACATGTTTTGGATCATAGGAGGTACTTACACTGTCTGGTCTTCCCAAGTGATCCTCTCTCAGCCACATATAAGTACTGACTGAGTTTTATATTGCTAAAATTCAGAGACACAATGAGAACCGGTGTTTTCAGTATGATCCTGTCTGAGTTAACTCCTCCTTAATTTCCTAATTGTTCACTAGGGGTCGCTCTCCCTACACTATAAATACTGGGCGGCTTCTTGCTTCGTTCTTTTTTCACTTTGCATTTTAGCGGACACATTTAAAAATGTGATCTCTCGCAGAGATCTACATTTTGCCCACTTGTGGAAAAACATCATGAAACACACACTTACATACAGGTACATACAAACATTCACCAATATACAAACTCTTTACATTCACACACAGACATCTTCGGATAGACTCAACTTGAGTTCACCATGTTCTTGTAGATGGACCTTCTTCTAGCAGGAATAAACAGGACATGTTCCTAATTTAACAACATGTAAACACACGGTCCTCTACAATCCGACCATGTCTTGTCATGGAATAGTAGTTAGGTAGGTTGTCTTTTGGTCTATTACTAGTGAATTTGGTATTTGCTTGTTGCTCAACATTTGCCATCTTGTATTGTGCTTAGATTAATAAATATTAGTACAACTGATACTTAGTATGTACTAATTGCAAGTAACTCACCTTTGATGTCTGATAAGCGGGCAGAGGTTCCAAGAAGGTCTTTACGCAAACCAATGATAACTTCTTCTTTTTCTTGGAGTTGCTGCTTTAATTCCAATGCCTCTTTCCTACAAATAAAGAAATTGGTGTATTTCAGTCAAAGCTGAATAAACAGCTATATAGTAGGTACTTTATAGTAGGTACTTTGCAGTGGAGTTGTGGTTTGTAAAATGGTCTCGCAGAATAATATGATTGTAGTACTGAGTATAATCTTAACTAACTTGTTGTCTTGCAATATAGTAAATTAGTAAGCGGGTCAGTTCTCATGAAGCAGTCAATTTCAAAAAATGAGTAAATATTCATCAGTCCATATGTGTTGTGCTATTTGATACTACAAAACACCTTTCAATAGTTGATTTGATTTTTACATAGTAAATTAGTAAGCGGTCCAGTTCTAATGAAGCAGTCAATTTCAAAAGATTAGTAAATATTCATCAGTCCATATGTGTTGTGCTATTTGATACTACAAAACACCTTTCGATAGTTGATTTGATTTTTACATAGTAAATTAGTAAGTGGTACAGTTCTAATGAAGCAGTCAATTTCAAAAGATTAGTAAATATTCATCAGTCCATATGTGTTGTGCTATTTGATACTACGAAACACCTTTCAATAGTTGATTTGATTTTCGATAATTGATTTGATTTTAAGAAACAGAGACAGGGTAACATTGGTGTATTGGTCTGAAGATAGCAGTAGAGACTAACGCAGCAACACAATTGATAAAGCTCATGACAGAATAACAACCATGGTTGCCAAACATGAGTTTCAGCCACAGACTTATATTACACATGATACCATAACTATGTCACACAATATAAAAAAAACTGATTCTAATGATGGGCAAGTCAAACCGTTAAAATCTATACTTAGTTTTTATGTCTCCAGTATGAAGGCTTAATGTTGCATCACTTCCTGTGATTCCTTATATAAAGGAACACATTATTACTACTTAAATGAATGCTCTTCAGAATGCCAGGAAGAATATGTTATTTTATACTAATGCTCTTTCTTAAGAGTGTCAGCATGCAATGACCAGTGCTACTAAAAAATAGCTTCCCCAATTCCATTTTCTATAGTAGTAATCATCAGTGGTGGAGTGAACAGGGAATCAGTTTGCCCAATAGGAAGTGGTCCCCTGATGGAGTACCCCACCCCTATATCAAATAAAAATGCAATAAAGAAACAAACACATACAACTGTTTTAGCAATAAAAAAGGAATAAGACTTTATAAAGTCATCTGCACATTATCAGTTACTCAAGTCCAATGTGAGAGGACATTTTCAAAGCTAAATATCATAAAGACAAGATTAAGAAATTTGCTGTAGAATTTGAAATCATAAATGTTGTTATCCATTGAAAAGGATGTTAGATGAATCAGATGCAGAAGCAATTACTGGTAGATTCGAACAATCATCGAATGAACACAAACAATTTCTCTAAATATAGTGGATTGCTTGTATTGCTCTATTGTGTTTTCAAACTGTTAATGTATAAATTTTGCAGTAAACTATTTAACAATTTTTAACCAATTACTTACGAATTTAAAAAGAAAAATAGATAAAAAATAGATAATTATAGAATTCGGTATTTGCATTTGGTATCTACTGCCAGCAATATGTACATTATATATCAGTCAGTTAAATGCCATATGTGATATATGCTTCGATGATCATGTCTCTTTTGAGTCATGACTTTGCAAAGGATTTTTCTACAGTAGGTTGCCATTTCTTTCTGCAATAAACTGATTGCCAACCAATGTCCTGCTATTTAACCCATAGCTGTAGGGAGAAGAGACGTATACATACCTTTCACAAGTGTATTTGTGTGTAAGTGAATGTAACAAACCCAACTGGAATTGGAACATGACACTCTAATTTCACATTCCAGGCTGGTATTCATTGCATAACAAAGCACATATGAAGAAATACATATTTTTTCTGAATAAAGTTTAATTTATTACCAGCAATACTATATATATTACCAGCAATACATATTGCCAGCAATATATTTTTGAAAAAAAAAATATTACCAGTAATACATCTTTGAACAGAAAATTTACCAGCAATAAAAATCTTGTCAGCATTAAATAACCCATTCAGGTTGATATGCCATAAAACAAACCAAACCAAATCTACAAGAATTACCCCCAAAAAACTTTTGCTATTTTTTTTTTAATGAACAGACCAGTTAACCTCAGCAGTGCCAAAATTGTTTACCTGAGAACTGTTATTAGTTGATCATGGACCAGAAGGTCAGGTGGTGGTTTTTGGACAATGACCTTTGGTTTGGGTGGTGGTGAACGTTTGACAGGCAGCTGTGTCCGATTTTCTGGAATACAAAATGAACAAAATAAAGGAACCATTTTCACATTTAACAGTGCATAAATATGAGAAAATACTCCCCAAAAGAATAAGAATTATGTTTTAAAGATCGTGTTTTCCATTGACTTGATACTTGTTTTATTTCTGGATCATCACTTTGTCAGAACAAGAAAGTACATATTCAAACACAACTTTGGCTTATTTCAAATTCATTACTTCAAATTATAGTACAAATTTAAATGATTGTTTTTTTTTATTCTCTGTGAGCAAACAAAACAGGAGATTTGTGTATAATTTTAAAATCTTCTATTCAGAAGGACATCTCAGATATAAAGTCTGTCAAAGATCTTCATTGACTTAATGTCAAACTTTTAGGTTTTTGATGTTTCAAAATGTTGAATGAAGGCCAAATAGATTATGGTTGGAATTCAAGATATATTTCACCATATTCTTGTATTATTTTGAACTATTGTTCTCATCTTGGTTGATATAGATGTTATTATAGATACAGTATTTCGACCAATTACCTTCTGGTCATTATCAGATGTCCATAGATTGGCTGATATCTGTTTATTTTTGTGATATTTTGTCCTTGTGATATCAGTTATTGTTTTTTTTTTTCCTGCTGAATAAGTGCATCACTACCAGATCCCAGGATTGAACTCATGATCACTGTATAATCAACTCCTATATCCACTATGCCACCATCTTGAAGGACAGTAGTGGCGTGTTTTTGGAGCCTTTTATATTCAATGTCAGATAGTTTTGACATTTGGTTATGATGGCAGCTTTGTACTTCTTTTTATAATTTATTGTTACATTAGTGATGAGATCTACTTACTTTGTAACCCTCTACCTCGAGTGGCTCATGGGCCTTAACAGAGTGAACATCGTTGTTAAAAAAGATTTTACATAAGTTGCTGGGATTTCAGAGCTAGCTCAGTGCAATGAAAACTAATTGATTGAAAATAAGTTTTTCCTTCTCTTTTTTGCACTAATTTCTTATTGGTCAACATGGTAGTGCATTTACATTGTTGTTTTTTTTTTAATTTTTTTGGTTAAAAGTAATCAGATTCTTTTTGAGGGTTGATACTTGGTGTCAGTTCTAAGAAATAAAAAGTTCTGCTATAAAACAATATTTTAAATGATCTGGTGGGGATTACCTCCCCTTGTCTTGCTGGGTCACTTGCTAGATGGCGTTCTATTTAGGACTACAAAAGCAAGTGATATAAACTCCCTGCTTCTATTTTTGCCTCACTCAGAAACAGGATGCGTTGGTAGAAGACAGGTCCAGTATTCCTCACCAGGGAAGATTTCTTCCGCATAAACAGATTTCTTAATTTCACATGACCATGTGGTGCAACAGCTTCAAGCGCACGCACACACACACACACACACACACATACCCTGCAGCTAAGCACATAAATGTCTTTCTTTCCTTTTTTTTTATCTATCTGCACACATATACATGCTGGTAGTCTCCATTCTCTTATAGTGGGGAAAAGAGTTAGTGTGGCTTCTGCATTCGGATCTGCCCTACGATTACAAAAGTCAAGGGTTGATGATGATGATGATGATGATGATGATGATGATGATGATGATGATGATATATAAATAATAATGGCCTAATGATATATGCTAAATGAAATAAATATATACTAAATATACTAATGATATATACTAATAAAAAAATCATATTGTATGATATATACTAAATAATACTATTCCTTCCTTTTAGAATTTCTTTCATGAGTCAACTATAATGACATAAATTCATGTACTCTTAGTTATAAGAGTGAATGTCCAAAGTACTATAAAATAGCAATTATAAAAAAAAACTAATAAACCGTGCACGGAGGCACGGTGGAGTAATGGATAGTGGCTCGGATTGAGGAATCGGAGTGCCAAATTTGAATTCCATTCGAATCCATTACATTCACTTACATGCTAATACCCTTAGGAAAGGTATAGAATCCTCTTCTTCTCTCCCTCCCCCAGCTATGGGTAAATATCAGGGCAGACTGGGTTCTATAGCCTTGGATGGTAACTGGTCTTCCGCAAAAAGAAATGGCAACCTACTGCAGGAGAAAATCTGCCTTGTCATGTATCAAAAAATACATGATCACCTAAGTGTGTATTACATATGGCACATAACATATATATATATATATATATATATATATATATATATAATATGTTTAAATGGAGTAGTAGAGCTGAGTTCAAAATCCAGTCGAATCCATTACATTCACTTATGTGCTAATACCATTTGGTAAGGTATGAATCCTCCTCTTCTACCCTCAGCTGTGGGTAAATAGCAGGACAGACTAGCTTCTATAGTCTTGGATGGCAACTGGCCTGCCACAAAAAGTAATGGCAACCTACTGTGGAAAAAATCTGCCTTGTCAGTCATGTATTGAAAGGTGCATGATCGCCTAATGATGTATCACGCATGGCACATAACTGAACTAAATAAACTGTTCAAAAATTAATTAATCCACGAAGCAGATTTTCTACGGTGAACTATAAAATATAAAACAAACTCTCATTAATAATAATCAGCTTTCAAAGTACAGACTGTACAAATCACTGGTAGTCTCCATTCTCCTATATGGATGTGAAACGTGGACACTAGAAACACAGAGAAGGATCCAAGCATTTGAGAACAAATACATGAGAAAACTCCTTGGCATTTTCTATTGGGAACATAAAGCCAATGAGTTTGTACGGAAAAGAGTTGAAAGTTTTGTGGGCCACCAGCAACCTCTTCTCGCCACGGTCACACGGAGGAAAATGGCATGGTTTGGACACGTTACAAGGCATGACAGCCTGTGCAAGACCATCACACAAGGCACCATTGAAGGTGGCCGTAGGAGAGGATGCAAATGCAAAAACTGGTTGGATAATGCCAAAAAATGGACAAGTATGAATATACCCGAATTGCTGGTGGCTGCCGTTGATAGACCATTGTGGAGGAGATTTAATATGGCTTCTGCATTCAGATCTTCCCCCTCACGATTACAAACGTCAAGAGAATAATAATGATGATGATGATGACACACATAAGTATAATTTTATCTTTCCCTTTTTTTGTATAACAACCTTTTACATGTTAAAGTCATTTATTTTGTAAAACAACAACCTGATTTGCAACAAGTTGTAGCACCTGTCCACTAAAACCTAATCTTATGCTCATCCTAACCACAACGCTTTCCCTAACACTGATTTTCAAGGCATTTGAGGATGAAGCTTAAATGAAACACACACAAAAAAAGCGTAGAATGAATATATATCTGAGATTAAAGCGATATATTTTTGTAACAGAACAGAAATAAATATATTATTAGAAAATTCAAGTGTACTAGAAAACCTTTCACGGTTTTCCTCTTTTAATTTTCTGATTAATTCTTCAGTTAATGCTTGAATAATCTCATGGTGATTTCTGCAAGAATAAAATATCCTTAGAAATTCTTTAATATTTGAGCTTAAGAAATTAAACAAAATATTGCAACAAGAATAATAAATAAGGATGCTGTTTGTTATTTTTAAGAAGTAAGGGAGTACAAATGAAAAGATTTGAAATTGATAACTTTTAACATTTCATTGAAACAGCCATTAAACATTTCTTTATTTATTTCTTTCTTGCTGTATTTTCTTTTTTGCTTTATTTCTTTACTGTTTCTTCCTTCCACTCTTCTTTCTTTCTTAGATGCGTGCTTTATTTTTCCTTCTTTCTTTCTTTCTTTCTGTCTTTCTTTCATTAGTGTTTCTTCACAAGAATCATAAATAAGGATGCTGGTCATTATTTTTAAGAAGTAAGGGGGTACAAATGAAAAGATTTGAAATTGATAACTTTTAACATTTCACTGAAACAGCCTTTAAACATTTCTTTCTTTCTTTCTTTTATTTTCTCACTGAAACTGAGTAGCATATATCTTTTATTTTTCTATGCAATCCAAACGGAACAGTCCATTACATTTTTTAAGCATTTCATCCCAAGCAAGATGGAAGTACCACTAGCATGCAAGGAGTTACACAGAGTGAGAGCAAGAGTAAAGAGGGGTGTTTGAGGAAAGGATAGAGAGAAGGACGGGGATCAAGATGAAGGCATCAGAGGATGTCGACTAAGATTACACATGAATATTTGAAGATTATAGCTATCAGGGAAGCAAGCAGGAGGAAGGGAGTTTCACAGAAGGGAAGTGCAAGAATAAAAAGCTGTTAGAGTAGAAGAGGCAGTTATATTTAACTGTTTTGACAGTGAAAGGGTGGGACCAAGCGATGAAATGGTAATCTTTATAACATCAACTAAATGCAATACTCACCAGCAGCATGAAGTAGGTAAACCACTGCTAGTGGTGGACTACGAAGACAGCATATTACTCCCACTTACAATAGTGTACAAACGTATTTATGAGGCTGTCACTTATTGTCAACTCAGACTGTTTTTAGACTAAATTTTTTTTTTTAATTTAAAAAAAAATATTTTGTACAAACAACCGTAATGAGCTATTTAATTTTTGATTCGTAAATGTACTTTTCACTTTTTGTTATCAACAAAACCGCTGGCAATGCAAATTTTAAATGATTTTTTAATATTGTAAATTATTTAATTAAAATTTAAAAAAATGAAAACAATTCTTATAAAAATTAATTAATTATTCATTGAAAAAAATTTACTACAATAGTTTCCTTAAATCTTATTTATCAAGACAATTAAAAACTTGTTTTACTTAAATAATGTCATAGTTTTATTGCATTTTTATTTTACAATTCAGAGCAGATTTGCGTTGAAAAGGGTAACTGTTTGAAAAAAAAAAAAAAAAATGATGATTTACTTTCTCCAAGGAGTCCTGCTTTTATATGATAAAAAACTCCCCGCCCTAAAACTGAATTTCTCGAAATTTCATGAAAAACAACTAAATATGGGTGGGAACATATGTAAAAAAAAAAAAAAATTAAAATAATTTTTTTACCAAGATTTTCTAAAAATCAAAGTTTCAAAAA